AGTGTTAATTTATTTATTTTTTCTTTCCAAAGAAGCCACTTCTGGTCTGTCGTTCTGATTGGCTGTAATGCCTCTCTGTTAAAATCATCACATGAGATCCCGTTTATTTAAACTGTTGCATTTAATTCCTGCTATTTAATAAATGTTGAACTATATTAAACCAGTCGACCCCAACTGTGAGTTTTGCAAAGCGCATCCAGAAACAGCCATTTATTCTGGAATTGTAATATTTTGAAAAGAATGTAATATCATTTCTAACGTCCTTAATACATTTTCAATTAAGTACTTTTGGTTTTGGTTATGATAGTCCAACTGTACTTATCCACTATTTCCAAAAGTACAAACATTCATATGTGCATATGAATGTTTTTAGGTCACTGGAGGTTTTTATCTTATCATAAATAAAATGAATTTATGATGAAAAATTTGTAAAGTTTTGTTTTTGTACCAATGTAGTTACTGTGGAAGAGCCTAATATATATTATATTCTGTGTTCTGTTCCTCATATTTCATTTGTTTTTGTAAATGAAAATGAATTCTCAGATTTAAAAAAAATCCTCTAAATAATAATACTGATATAAATGAACCTGTCATATATCCATACAGCCGTGTGCAGGAATGTGTGTGTGCTTGTGTATCTTACCTGTATTTATTAACTGGATCTGAATGGCTGGAGGAGAACATTTAAAACATTTTCTTCCTTATGTCTCACATTAATTCACTGCTTCCACTTTACACGAGAAATGATATGCCAATGAAGAGCGGCTGCTATCTGTTTGCAAATGGCAGAGACAAACGGTGTGTGTGGGAAATTCCAGCACCTAAAGTGTTTCTGATAAACATCAGAAATTCAACACTTTACAATCCAGTCTTAACCAGTTTTACTAAAAGAAATGTACCGTATTTTCTGGACCATAAGGCGCACCAGATTATAAGGCGCACTCTTAATTATGGCGTCCATTTCTTAACCCATGACCAGACACATGCTAAAACATATGGTCAGCAAAAAAAAATAAAAAATTTACGGAAACAAAACAGTAGGTTTAGTTGAACTTTATTCTACTATGTAGCAACACACTCACTTTATTTTTTATTCTTCTTCCACAAATCCATCAAAGTCTTCCTCTTCTGTGTTTGAATTGAACAGCTGGGCAATTTGGTTTATCGCTGCCAGCGTATGTACTGTACACTTTACGTCTCTGTGTCAGGGACAGATTTTGGAGTTCAGTGCACACATAAGGCACTTGGGATTATAAGGCGCACTGCTGATTTTTGAGAAAATGTAAGGCTTTTGGGTGAGCCCTATAGTCCGGAAAATACGGTAATTATAAATGGCATCACAAGCTTATCTTTGAAGTTAACTGCCAACCAGGGGCACAACTACATATAATTCAGGTGGATGTGAAAACATAAATCGGCGCCTCCCCCCCAAAGGAAGGTACATAAGGGTGAAGGAGCGTAGAAAACATATGGTCGCTCTATCCGTATGAGCGACCGTATGTTTACACCCCGTTTGAACAGCTTTAGCTTAAAGCTGTTCAAAAGCTTTAGCTGTTCAAAACAGCTAAAGCTTTTTTTTTAGCAGCTTTAGCTAAAGCTTAAGCTAAAGCTTAAAGCTAAAGCTTAAAGCTGTTCAAACATCTCATGAAAGCAACATGATGTGAGCAGACACGTCCTCCGTCTGGGACGCTCCGTCCGTCACGTTGCCACAAACCAAACTGTTTTTTTTGCCCCGCCCCCTTCGTCAGATCAGGACCAGAGATATGATGCTACAAAAAAATCACCTTGAAAGTCTTGACAAGAAATATAACATTTCTTTATGTCAATAATAAATATATAAAGATAAATAATTAACCGGAAAGTTCTTGAGGATGTCCATAATAAAAACCTTTCTAATGTGGTATGTGTTTTTTTTTTTTATACCAGTACTAAAATAGAGGAACCAACTTCCTGCCTGGATTCTGACAGATTTAATCCTCATGTTGGGATTTACCCTGCATGTTTTCACTTCCTGCAGATGTTCAAACTCCATCAGTGGATCCATTGTGCCTCGCTTAATGTTAGAACTGACAGACGGCATACTGACTTCTGTCTGAGTATCAATTTTTCTCGAATAAAGTTTCAATAAAGCAAAATGAAAGTTTTTTCAGTTATGTGTTTGACTGAAGTTTATGAAATTACTTTCTCAGAATATGTAGATGTTAGTGTATTTTAATCCCTTCTCTCTTATTTCCTCTGCACATGTTTTTTTCAGAAATGTCTTTATCTTACACTCAGAACTTGGTCTCCCTGATTTGAATATTCAAATCAATGGAAAATTCTACGTATTTCAGCTGCTCTTCACTGACAAAACAAATTTGCTAAACTAGCCATTTGACGGAGAACTCTGAGGGAAACGATGAAACAGTCTAATTTGTTGTGGAGTAAAGGAACTGCATGTAAGTTTTATTTGCTTAGTTTTTAGTCTTAATAAGGTCAAATATATTTTTTACTATTTCAAACGTCATGTCAGGGTTACATTTTTGCATAGAACACATTGTGTCTGTTATGTTTCATGTTTAGCTCTCCAGAGCATTTTCAAACCTTGATGCTGCAGCTTTTCACTGTTTAAATGTTCTTCATCCAACAGAGACAAACTGCTGGAGGAAAATAATTCATCTGACAGCAAAGATGCAGTGGAGTCTGATTCTGCTCTTCCTGATGGGTAAGTTGATCTGAAACATAAACTATGAAGAGAGATACCTCTTTACAATCAAGCAGAAACTTCAATAAAAGTTCTAGTCATATTATATTGAAACTTATAGCCCATATTGTGTTTTGATGAAATCATCCTAATTTAATTCCACCATTGTTTATGTCTCAGCTCAGTGTTGCTTCATGGACTGTCAGCTCTATCAGTTTCACTACATTAATGAGAATAAGACCTGGACTGAAGCTCAGCAGTACTGCAGAGAGAAACACACTGACCTGGTCACAGTGACTAACATGAAGGACATGAAGAGACTCATCAACATCTCAGCTGGAGAAATGAAGGAAGCTTGGATTGGTCTGTATGATCAAACACATGGTAACAGAACATGGTACTGGTCTCTGCCTGGAGTGGAGTTCAATGAAAGTGAATCAAACTGGTACCCAGGAGAACCGACTGATAGAGTGAATCCAATATCTGAAAATTGCGGGGTTTTGAATACAAATCTTGAATGGCGTGATACTGCATGTAAACCTTTAAGGTATTTCCTGTGCTATGATGGTGAGAACATTAAATTACTCTTCCTAATTTGAAAAGTACAGTACAGTTTAAAAACATATTTTTAAATTGTACTGTACGATGCATTTTTCTCCTCTCCAAAAGTACAAATGGCATGAGTTTGTCTTTACCCCACAGCAACTGATGAAATAAATACCACTTGATTAGACAGAAGAAGTCCTGGCAGGAAGCTCAGAGTTACTGCAGAGAGAAACACACAGACCTGATCAGTGGAACGAAGCAGCTACAGGATGAAGAAGTGAAGAATCTGAAGATCACTGCATACTTTGGCTTGTTCAGAGACACCTGGAGGTGGTCAGATGGAAGCAACTCATCCTTCAGACACTGGAATAATGAGCTTAGCAATGTAAAATACAACAGTGGTCAATGTGCCATGACTGTGTTTGATGATGAAACCAGATGGAAGAATGAGAACTGTGATGAAAGAAAACCCTTCATTTGTTATGATGGTGAGTGAAATACACCACGCTTTATGTTTGAACTGCATTTAAAAGAAATGTATTTCATTCAGTCATTTTTTACTTGTCATTTTTATCTATTTAAAAAAGTGCTTCATAGTTTCTTTCTCTTCTACAGATGATTAGCTGGCAATTTGCCTTGTGTTTAATGTGAAAATATTAAACTGAACATAACGAGAACCTCCTCATCGATGAGGGGATCAGAGTAGAGCCACTGCTCCTCCACACCAAGAGGAGCCAGTTGGTTGGGAACCTCCTGGTTGCCTCCCTGGTGAGGTGTTCCTCCCACAGGGAGAAAACCAGGGGAAAACCAAGGACAAGCTGTAGGGACTGTTATCTGCATTCAGACCGATTTGAGCATCAGTGGCATCTGGTTTATACTAAAAGTCTATGTAGAATCATGTCTTGGGCACGTCACGCCTCCTTTAATGTGTCTGACTCTGCTTTGTTGAAACATTTTGACAGTTTTGATTGTTTTGAACGTCCAAGCGTGTCTCATGTTCAAAATGCATAATTGGAACTTTAGCTTTAATGTGACGCAGTGACCTGTGGCTTCTCTTGTACCAGGAGACACAGACACTAAATCAGGTTAACAGGTCATCAAATTGGGTTTGGGTGAGACGAAAATAGTGCTAGCGACAGCAACCCTCGTCAACGTCCAGCTAAGCTGTGAAACTCAGCAAAACTTATAACACCTCTGAATTATCTGGTAAATTCAAACACGTGCCGACGGCTGCATTCTGTTGCTTTCAGTAAATAAAGCCAAGACACTCTCTCAATATTTTATCTGCCGTTGTTCAAAGTAACCTGGAGAGGAAAAAAGGCAACTCACGTCCTGCCATTATCAGCTCTCTATATTATTTGTTCAGGAAAAACTCAACACACAATGTTCAACAAAGACATCTGAGCATCTGTTATGATTGCAAAAAAACTTTTGAGAGAGTGGTGCTTCAATCGTCTAGCACGATTTTGATGCGTTTGACGCTCGTCTTGACTGAGATGTCAAGCAACGTGTCCAACTCAAAGCATTGGATCTTTTTTGACACGTGAACACATTCGGTCTGAACTCAGTATTACTCAGTTGTCCTTCAAACACCTTGGGATTCCCCCAGAGGAGCTGGCCCACGTGGCTGGCTAGAGGGAACTCTGGGCCCACATTAAATGGATAAATGGACATTTGTTCCAAGAAAACAAAGTTAGTAGCCATAAATTCTGAATAGTAGCACAAATAAAGATGTGAATCATAAATATTTCGTCTTCTTTACTCCAATGACAGACAACATAATCCTGATTAAAGAAAATAAAACATGGGAGGATGCTTTATCCTACTGCAGACATCACTACCATGACCTGGTCACCATCACCAACCTGGATAAGCTGAGGCTAATCGAGGAAAAAGCCAAGAAGGCATCAACACTTTTTATCTGGATGGGTCTCCGCTACAACCGCTTGACGGACATGTGGTTCTGGATCTGTAAGGAGATGATCAGCTATAAGAGCCGGACCTCAGAAGGACAGATGAATGACTGTGGCATGTCTGGAGCCATGGAGGCGAAAGGACAACACAGGTGGTTCCAGAGAAATGATACAGAGGAGCTGAATTTCATCTGTTTTAAAAATGGTACCTGGTGATTTGCCTGTATTTATATAGAGCTTTATCTAGTCCAGAGGACTCCAAAGCACTTTACTCTTCATTCAGTCATTGACCCATTAACACACTGATTATGGTAAGCTGCACAAAGATGCATGACACATGTAGAAACTTAAGTTTAACTCAGTTGTAAGCATTGATGAATTCATATTTTCTCTCAAGCATTTCATTTTACCTCTAATGGTGTGTTTAAGGGTCTTTGTCTTGTCTCAAATTGACTCTGAAGTTTTTATTCTTGTTTTCAGTTTACCTTCTTTCAGTAAGGAATTTCACTGTCAGGTAATAATTTTGCCTCCTCTAGTGCTCCGTACTCATTAGGGGCCCCACAAGGCTCCATTCTTGGCCCTATTTTATGGATACTTTATATTCTGCCACTTGGAGCTACTCCTGTCAACCTTCCACTGCTATACAGATGATGTATAGATCTACTTGATCTATGTGACAATGTTACTTGATATGCAGAATAATCTGTATGTCAATATTACCCTGTGTCTTGCTCTACATTGTGTACGGCAGGGGTCTCCAAACTTTTTCTTGCGAGGGCCACATGACTGTTCCCTTTTCTGGTCGGGGGCCGGTCTTAGTTTTTCGTGAAAGAAACCTTAGAAAAGACTTGTTGACGGAGGGGGTGGGGTTGGGGAGTGAAACTTTGGACCGGGGGGGGGGGGGGGGGGGGGGTTTTTTTTTTTC